TTGTGCTGACCCTAGAGCTCAGGCAGAGGCCAAAGCTTGAGGCCATCTCATGTATTTCCTGAGCATGTGTCTTCCTCTAGTCCTGTATGTGCATTTCCAAATTTCCTAATCTATAATACATGAACATCCTTTTTTTCATCAACTTTTATGTTAAGTTCCATGGTCCATGTGCAGGACGTGCAGGTTTGCTACACAGGTAAACAGGTGCCATGGTGGTTTGCTGCACAGGTCAACCCATTACCTAGGCGTTAATATTAAGCCCAGCCTCCATTAGCTATTATTCCTGATTGTCGCCCTCCCACAGCTCCCCAGCAGGCCCCAGAGTGTGTTTTTCTCCCCACGTGTCCATGTGTTCTCATCGTGTGAACACTTTGAAAATCTCTAAATTCCCAAAGAAATGGGAAATGTGGCTTGGCCACAGTGCCCTGTGGTGCTAAATGGGGCAATGTGTGGACTGCAGCTTCCTGAAATAGTGGCCGCTGGAGAGACTGAGGATCATCAACCATAAATAAGAAGACTGAAAGAGAAAAATAACAGCAGCTGATATTTACAGAGCCCTGCTACCTCCTAGAGTAGTTTCTCAACCTCGGAATTGTCAGCACGCTGGGCTGGGCACCGCTCTGTTGTGGGGCTGGCTCTTGCATTGCAAGATGTTTGCCAGCATCCCAGGCCTATTCCTGCTAGATGCCAGTGAATGTCCTCTGCCCCCAGTTGTGACAACCAAAAATGTCTCCAGACATTGCCAAACATCCCTGGGGTGGGGGTCGGGGTGAAAGTTGCTCCCAGTTGGGAACTGCAGCTCCAGGGCACAGGCCGGCTGCTGTGTCCCGGTGATCACGTCAGTCCTGCCTTTCAAGCTTCCAGCCCTCAGGCCGCAGCCCCTCAGTTTGTAGGGTTTTGTAGGTTGCTTTGCATAGAAGAGTTTCTGTCACTGGTGGAGGTTTCTTCTCCCTGAGGCTATGCGCACTGTGAGCGTAGGAATTTCAACATCCACCCTAGTGTCCTCAGACTGAGAGGAATTCTTCCCATCCCCTGTATCACATCAGTCACCACTTCCCCTAAGCTGCCTGCTACTCTCTGCTTAAGTCTAAGCTGGAAGATCACACCCACAGCAAGGCTTTTCCTGGACTATGAACTAGACTCTCTCACATCCTGGGCACATCCTCACCCTTCCTCACCTCCTCTGCACTGAAGACTTTGCCATCAGCACCAGGGCAGAGTCATTGCAGACTGCATGCTCCTCTGAGCCTGGTGCTTCCCACAGGGTCTGGCACAGGAGCCCTTAGTGAATAAAGAAGGGCTAAGGTGCAGAGAGCATGAGCCTGGGTGGGCACAGCTCAGTCAGTGTCTCATCTTCACAAGTGGGGAGAGCGTGCACAGTCTCTTGCTCAGGAATGTAAGTAGTTGTGTTGCTGCTTCAAGGGCAGTAATGGTCAGAAGGAAATGCTCTCCCATCCCTCTGCTGGAGAGACATCATCTGATGGGAATGCCCTTGTTTACAGTCCTAGTTCTTGACCAACTCAGCCAAGGCTCTTTGATCAAATGTGCTCTGATATGGTTTGGCTGTGTCCCCACCCAAATCTCAACTTGGATTCTATCTCCCAGAATTCCCACGTGTTGTGAGAGGGACGCAGCGGGAGGTATTTGAATCATGGGATCTGATCTTTCCCATGCTCTTCTCTTGATAGTAAGTCTCATGAGATCTGATGGGTTTATCAGGGGTTGCCACTGGCACATAAGGAGTGCCTTTCACCCTCTGCCATGATTGTGAGGCCTCCCCAGCCACGTGGAACTGTAAGTCCAACTGAACCTCTTTCCCCTGTACGTTGTCAAGTCTTGGGTATGTCTTCATGAGCAGCATGAGAACGAACTAATACAGTCAACTAGTACCAGTAGAGTGGGGCATTGCTGAAAAGACACCCGAAAATGTGGACGTGGCTTTGGAACTGAGTAAAAGGCAGAGGTTGAAACAGTTTGCAGGGCTCAGAAAATGACAGGAAAATGTGGGAAAATTTGGAACTTTCTAGAGACTTGTTGAATGGCTATGCCCCAAATGTGGATATTGACGTGAACAATAAGGTCCAGGCTGAGATGGTCTCAGATGCAGATGAGAAACTTGTTGGGAACTGGAGAAAAGATGACTCTTGTTATGTTTTAGCAAAGAGACTGGCAGCATTTTGCCCCTGCCCTAGAGATCTGTGAAACTTTCAACTTCAGAAAGATGATTTAGGGTATCTGGTGGAAGAAATTTCTAAGCACCAGAGCATTCAAGAGGTGACTCAGGTGCTGTTAAAGGCATTCAGTTTTATAAGGGAAGCAGAGCTTAAAATTTTGGGAAATTTGCAGCCTATGTAATAGAAAAGAAAAACCCATTTTCTGGGGAGAAATTCAAGCTGGCTGCAGAAATTTGGATAAGTAGCAAGGAGCCTGATGTTATTCCCTAAGACTATGGGGAAAATGTCTCCAGGCCATGTCGGAGACCTTCATGGCAGCCCCTCCCATCACAGGCACAGAGGCCCAGGAGGAAAAAGTGGTTTTGTGGGTCAGACCCAGGGTTCCCATGGCTGCATGCAGCCTAGGGACTTGGTGCCCTGTGTCTCAGCCACTCCAGCCATGGCCGAAAAGGGTCAAGATACAGCTCGGTCTGTGGCTTCAGAGGATGCAAGCCCCGAGTCTTAGCAGCTTCCCTGTGGTGTTGCTCCTGCAGGTGCACAGAGGTCAAGAATTGAGGTTTGGGAACCTCCGCCTAGATTTCAGAATATGTATGGAAAAGCTTGGATGCTCAGGCAAAAGCTTGCTGCAGGGGCGGCACCCTCATAGAGAACCTCTGCTAGGGCAGTGCAGAGAGGAAATATGGGGTCAGAGCCCTCACACAGAGTCCCTACTGGGGCACCACCTAGTGGAGCTGTGAGAAGAGGGCCACCGTCCTCCAGACCCCAGAATGGTAGATCTGCCAACAGTTTGCACCATGCACCTGGAAAAGCCACAGACTCTCAACACCAGCCCCTGAAAGCACCTAAGAGGGAGGCTGTACCATAGGGGTGCAGCTGCCCAAGGCAATGGGAACCCACCTCTTGCATCCATGTGACCTGGATGTGAGACACGGAGTCAAAGGAGATCATTTTGGAGCTTTAAAATTTGACTGCCCCGCTGGATTTCAGATTTTCATGGGGCTTGTAACCCCTCTGTTTTGGCCAATTTCTCCCATTTGGAAGGGCTGTGTTTACCCAACACCGGTAACCCCATTGTATCTAGGAAATAACTATCTTGCTTTTGATTTTACAGGCTCATAGGTGGAAGAGACTTGCCTTGTCGCAAATAAAATTTTGGACTGTGGACTTTTGGGTTAATGCTGAAATGAGTTAACTTAGGGGGACTGTTGGGAAGGCATGCTTAGTTTTGAAATGTGAGGACATGAGATTTCGAGGGTGGGATGATATGCTTTAGCTGTGTCCCCACCCAAATCTCCCAGAATTTCCACGTGTTGTGGGAGGGGAGACAAGGGGAGGTAATTGAATCATGGGGGCCAGTCTTTCCCATGCTATTCTCTGATAATTAAAAAGTCTCACAAGATCTGATGGGTTTATCGGGGGTTTCTGCCTTTGCGTCTTCATTCCCTCTTGCTGTCCGCACACAAGGAGTGCCTTTCACCCTCTGCCATGATTATGAGGCTTCCCCAGCCGCATGGAACTATAAGTTCAATTCAATCTCTTTCTTTTGTAAATTGACCAGCCTAGGGTGTGTCTTTATCAGCAGCATGAAAACAGACTAATACATGCTCCGTCTATCTCGGTTTGTGTTTAACGCCTCAAGATGAATCTCATCAGTGAGACAGAGCCTGCAGTATATTTCACATGCATTGATACTCTCTGAGACACTATGGATTGGGCAGGGCAAGTCTGCAGGGTGCTCTGTGGTGATCCTGTGTTGCCCATGTGAGGCTGGCCCTCTACACACAGTCTCAGAGCAAAAAGCCTTCTGACCAAGAGGCCAGAGTTGACACTCCTTTGTCCCCACAGCCTGCGCTTCTCAGCTCTGAGCTGGGGAGGCCTGGCATGAGCCCAGCTCTCTCCTCCATTCCCGTCCCTGCTCCCTGACAAGGCTGGCTCTCAGCAACCAGCAGCAGCGAAGGGAGGTGGGTTCTCTTCAATCTCAAACTCCTAGAAATTCCCCAAAAGACAGAAATCTAATTTGAAATGTTGAGGGGTATTTGGGATGTGCTGCAGAAGAGGCTGCTCATTATCTCAGTTTTCTAAAAGCTTCTTTCCCGTGACCCTCTGGACACTTTTGCAAATATTTTTATTTCATCCAACTAATAAAGGGCCTCAGGTGGTGACTGTTTTTGAGAAGGTAAGAGGGGAGAACAGCACGGTGACAGGAAGCTGCGGGGTGGTGAGGGGATTGTTTGTGGCAGGTGGATCATGAAAGTTCCCTTAAGTCAGTTCTGTGCTGTGTTCTCCATTTAACCATGTTTACCACCAGCTCAGAGCCTCAGGGCACGTCCATCTGGCCTAGCACACAGTAGGTGCCTCCTATGTGTACATTATATGTTTATGAAGTGCTCAACTGAGGCTGAGTTCCCAGGCCTAGACTCTGGGAGATGCAGCCTGGCAACAGGCCCTCTTCCCTGCAGGGCTTAGCTGGGCTGTTATGGGCCCTGCTGAGCTGGGCTGGCTGACTGCACCTAGCAGCAGCACTGAGGAGAGTCTCCCTGCTCTTGAGGTCCATAGCTCAACACTCTGCAGGCCCAGCCCAGCTGCACTTGCTGCCAGGAAGCTTTCCTTTGAGTTCAAGTTCTGCTTTCTCCCTCTGACTACAGTGCAAATGGAGAGGACAGGCACCAGTCTCCCCAGGAGTGTGAATCTTATGTGCTCATTTAGTAGGAACTGTTTGTTATCATGTGCTGGGTTCTGAGGGTACAGAACTGCATCAGCCACAGTCTGCCCTCCAGGGCTTCCAGGGACCTGCCTTCCAGCAGGAAGACACGAAACACACAGTCATCACTGGTGGAGGTCGCACAAGTCCGTAACCCGGCATGTTTGAAGAGTGATAATGAATGTGTGCCCTCCACCGTTTCTCTCCTTCAGAAAGAAGCTAGCAGAGCCGTTATTAGGGAGACAAAATACATACAATTTTCGATACAACTTCAGATCTACAACGTCAGATCTAAAAACACAGAAAAAATTCAGCCACACAGGCAGACTTGCACTTCTTTTTTTTTTTTTCCCACCTTTTCTGTGGTGCCAGCAAGCTCACATTTCTTACCCCATGTTCATCACCAGCATCAAGGCAGCAAAGTCAAATCTGTTTGTCTCCACCAGGAAGTCATTGCAAACTTCAACTTAAATTGGTCATGGGACAAGTCCACTGAAAAGAGAGGCAGGGCGCTGTCCTGTCCCAGAAACGTCTGTGCTAAGATTTGGAAGCAAAGCGATGGGCCTTGGTGGCCCCTGCCAGGCCTCTGGAGTCCTAGGTGGCACATTAGATAGGTATGTTGCTTAGACGTAGAATGGAGACAACTGCCACTTGGGGAGGGGCCCCCAGCTCTGGCCAGAGAACACCGCTTCTGATCCTTTTCCAGCATTGCTACCTAGGAGCAGGAAGGCCTTGGGAGGGCCTGCCGGCGATCCGATTATCCCCTCCAGGGTATCTTCCCTCCCCGCTGTGCTCACCTCTCTGGTACAGATTCTCAGCAAGTGGCTTGACCCAAGAAGCCTGCATTCTGCTGCTCACAGCTGCCTGGTCAAGTTTCGAAACATTGAGGTGATAGAAGGTTAATAAGGCAAGCAAGTTTTTTTTGACTATCACTTCCTTTCGCATACTCATTTTATTTGATTTGAAAAACTGTGAGTTTCCTGAGGTTTTGCCGCTGACGAATAGAAGGCCTTCTTCTGTCTTGCTTTTTGAAGGCAGAAGAAACAAGCTTATGCGGTTTAAGGTGTTTTTTTCCAGTTCTGTGAAGAAAGTCATTGGTAGCTTGATGGGGATAGCATTGAATCTGTAAATTACTTTGGGCAGTATGGCCACTTTCACGATATTGATTCTTCCTAACCATGAACGTGGAATGTTTCCCCATCATCATTCTCAGCAAACTGACACAACAACAGAAAAACAAACACCGCATGTTCTCACTCATAGGCGGGTGTTGAACACTGAGAACACATGGACACAGGGAGGGGAGCATCACACACTGGGGTCTATTCAGGGGAAACAGGGGAGGGACAGTGGGGGATAGGGAGTTGAGAAGAGATAGCATGGGGAGAAATGCCAGATGTAGGTGATGGGGAGGAAGGCAGCAAATCACACTGCCACGTGTGTACCTATGCAACAATCTTGCATGTTCTTCACATGTACCCCAAAACCTAAAATGCAATTTAAAAAAACTTAAAAAAAAAGAAGAAACAAGCTTACTTCACTTTGCAAATGTGGCAGAGCCTGGAGTCAACTTCGTGTGGCATGACCAGTTCTTCACCAGGAGCTGTGCAGCCAGGGGCAAGTCATGTCTCTCTCTGGGACTCATTTTGACATTTATCAAATGAAGGACTGTCATGTATTCACAAAACTTTGCTGGGTTTTGCAGAGCATTCTGCCAATGGCTGCAGAAGTATTGCTGAGCCATAGTTACCTCCCTACTTCCAGGCTCCCAGTAAGTGACACTGAGCAGAAGACATGGACAGCTGTGTGCTCAGGAATCTCTACTCCTGTGCTCTGGGGCCGGGCCTCTTGAAGCCAGGTTGCTGGGTGGGTCTCCCTCGCTTCCTTCAATTCCTAAGGATAAGGGATGGGTACTGAGGTTGCCCTAGACAATATCCTATTAATCTGGACCTATGAGAGAATTCCACATGCTGGATTCCAGTAAGTTACTGAATCTCTGGAAGGCTCTGTTTTGTCCTTCTTAAAATAGTACGTACTTGGCAGGGCATTTTAGCATGCAGTAGATACTGTCTGTAAGGACAGGGCACAGTGCCCGTCTCATACATGTCAGCATTCCTATGTGTTATGCCTCTCCTTACTATATATCTCCAGTTCTGCGACTCTCAAGGCTGCTGCACATGCTTTCCATTTCTCAGAAGCTTCCTCACAGCCCACAGAGGTGCCTGTTCCACTTTTCAGTTCCTGTCCTACATCATCTTCACCTTGCTGCCTGGAAGTTCATTATAACATTCAACCCAAACATGGCTTCTCATGGTTTTCACTTCTCTTCTTCCTCCTTGGTCCACATCCACATGAAGCATACAACTGCAGATCATCTTCTTTGATTTCATCAAAGCTCAAAGATTCATTGAAAGGGTAATTGTATTAACTTTCTATTCATTTCCTAAGGGTCTGGTTCCTGCTACTGTCTGGCCACATTCATCGGTTCACCTGAAGTGTATCTGTCAGAGTTCTCCACGTGTTTTTCTTCTCCAGCCTCCCTTATCACACCATCCTCTGGAGACAAGACCTGTATCTTTGTCATGACCCTGCATTGATTACTGCTTTATACTTTCCCACAGTGTTTTTAGATTCGTGACCTTATAACACACACATACACATACACTTGCCATGAGCTATGGAGGTGTGCCAGCATGCCTACCTGCTCCTTTGTGACCACATCAAAGGTCTTTAACAGATGGAGACACTGAAACAGGGGGGTTTAATGGGATCACAAAGGGGACAGGCAGGGCTGCGCTTGAAACCTCAGTCCCTGATTGACACAGGGTCTTCTGTCTCCACCAGGAAGTCTCCTCCTGTCTTCGCTCTGCTCCCCACGCTCATTGGATCTAACAAACCTGCTTCCCTAGTGAGCAGGCTGACCTGGCTCTGCCCACCTCTGCAAGTGGGGACTTGGCTTCCTCAGGTGACACAGTGTTGTCCACAGTCAAAGACTACCATTGTGGAATCCACTCCTATCCTGGATGGGGGCCTGCTGGCCAACCTGCTTTCATGCTCAGCGGGCCTGCTGCTCTGTCCCATGTGTGTACATAGGCACAGGCGCACATACTCCCATGCCGGATCAGCAGGGCATCCTTGTGGCTGGAGATAAAGAACCTTCCCTGTTTTCTCAAAGGCATGGAATAACTAAGCCCTCCCCCCAGACATCGCAGACCCAAACTCTCTAGCAACAGTTTACTTTATAGCTTCCAGGGACCAGGAACCTCCCATCTGAGTGGGAAACCTGCTCAGGTGAATTCTGTAATTCTTGAGACAGCACAATCCCACAAGTAGAGCAGAAGATTTCAATATCACTTCCTCGGTAGTTAAGGGTGCAAGTAGAAAGATGTCAGCAGAAATGTTTAAGACGTTAACAACGCAAGCAAGGAAACCAGATGAACTACCGTGAATAGAACACTCCACCAAATAACAACAGAAAAAACTTTTTTAAAGCACATAAACATTTTTCCAGGATAAACTATATGCTTGTATATAAAACGTTTGAATAACTTTAAAATTATTGAAAATAGATGACATCTGTTCTTTGACCAAAATAAAATAAAATTTAATGAGAAGGAATTTAGGGCATCCCCAAATATATAAACATTAAATATACTTCTCTTTTTATTGCATTTTAGGTTTTGGGGTACATGTGAAGAACATACAAGATTATTGCATAGGTACACACATGACAGTGTGATTTGCTGCCTTCCTCCCCTTCACCTATATCTGGCATTTCTCCCATGCTATCTCTCCCCACCTCCCCACCCCCCCGTCCCTCCCCCATTTCCCCCCAACAGACTCCATTGTGTAGTGCTCCCCTCCCTGTGTCCATGTGTTCTCATTGTTCAACACCCCTCTGTGAGTGAGAGCATGCGGTGTTTGATTTTCTGCTCTTGTGTCAGTTTGCTGAGAATGATGGTTTCCAGGTTCATCCATGTCCCGACAAAGGACACGAACTCATTATTTTTGATGGCTGCATAGTATTCCATGGTGTATATATGAACATTAAATATACTTCTAAGTAACCTGTGGGTCAAAGAAATCACCAGAAGTATTAGATAATACCTCAAACAGAATTAAAGTTAAAATGCAATAGGTGAAGTTAAAACAGTTCTTAGAAATTTATAGCTTCAGTGCTTAGAAAACAAGAAATGCTAAAAGTCTGACCATCTAAATTTCACTTTAAAGAGCTAGAAATAGTGAAGCTAATGAAACTCATTGTAAGTGGAAGAAGGGAAATTAAAGAACAGAGTGGAAATCAACAAATCCAAAAGGGATTAAAAATAAAAAGAAATCAGTGAAGCCATGATATTTTACTTGGAAAAATCAAGAACAATGCCAAACGTTTGGCTAAAATAAAATGAAAAAAGAGAGAAGATACACATTACCAAAATCAAGTAAGAAAAACACGACATTGTAATAGGACACTCAAAAACTAAAAGGATTGAGGAAATGTTATGAAGAAACTTTTATTAACTCAGCAATATACATGAAATGGGGAAATAAATTACCAGAACTGACTTAATAAAATAGAAAATATGAATAACCTATATCAAGTAAAAAAAATGAATTAATATTTTCAAATCTTTCCAAACACACATAAAAAGTCCAGGCACTGATGGCTTTAGTGGTGAATGGTGTCAAATATGTATCAAATTCATTCTTATATATCGAATACAAACTTTGAAAAATAATAAATAGATACATCCTTTAAAAAGAATGAAATCTTGTTCTTTGAAGCAACATGGATGCAGCTGGAGGACATTATCCTAAGAGAATTAACGCTGAAACAGAAAACCAAATACTGCCTGTTCTCACTCACAAATGCAGCTCAACGTTGGGTACACATGGATATGAAGAGGGGAACCGTAAACACAGGGGATTCCTAAAAAGGAGAGGGAGGGAGGGAGGGAGGCATGGGCTGAAAAACTACCTCGCAGGTGTAATGTTCACTACCTGAGTGACAGGGTCATCAGAAGCCCAAATCTTGACACCACACAACGTCCTCAGGTAATAAACCTGCACATATATCCTCTGAATCTAAAATTAAATAAAATTTAGAAAAGACACCCTGTAAACATAGACGAGAATATCAAACAATCATTCTTTATGTAGTGGCCTGATATTCTTTATGTAGTGGCCTGGTCTTCCACACTGTGGCTTCTTCCAACGTTATCAAGCCAAATCTGCTGATTCTTAGTAAATTCTGCCTGCTTTTCCCTTTAAGCTATGTTGTCAGGAGACTATTTTTCATGGTGCTGCTGCTGAGAAATGTCACCTTTGTAGAATGCACGCCACTCTTAAGTGCACACATGGTGATTCTCTTGTTCAGGTGTCAGAGGCGATCTCAGCACCTGCACAGCTGGGTTTAAAAAAAACAAAACAGAGAACTTGATAGTACCAGTTACGAAAGTATTAGAACATATCAGGTGTGTAATTTCATACATTGTAATTAAATCAGATCGTTAATCTTATGCTATTTGAATAGCTGATGACACATGACATGGTTTGGCTCTATGTCCACACCCAAATCTCATCTCAAGCTGCGATCCTCGGTGCTGAAGGAGGGCCTGGTGGGAGGTGATGGAATCATGGGTGGACTTCTCCCTTGCCGTCCTCGTGATTGGGAGAGAGCTCTTATGAGATCACTCTCATAAAATTAAAAGTATGTGGCACTTCCTCCTTTTCTCTCTCTCTGTCCTGCAGCCACGTGGAGAATGTGCTTGCTTACCCTTTGCCTTCCACAATGACTGCAAGTTTCCTGAGGCCTTTCAGTCATGCTTCCTGTTAGCCTGCAGAACTGTGAGTCAATGAAACCTCTTCTTCATAAATTAACCAGTCTCAGGTAGTTCTTTGTAGCGGTGTGAAAATGTGCTAATGCAACACAAGATGATTAACTTGCTAGAAATTGGAAAAACTTCCGTTGCATAGTTTGCATCATGATTGTTATCCCTTTACCTGAACTGATTAGAACCAAAGAATTGACAGTGGCATAGGCATGACCACAAGCCTCTGGACACCAGGATGCCTGGGTCACACACCTGGAACAGAGTCGAGGAGGATGAGAGGATGAAATCCACCCAGACGATGGCCACAGAGAAACTCACCAGCAGCAGGATGGTCTAGGTGTCCCTTTTCTCTGTGGAGGATCTTGGGGAGCAGCTGGTGCTGTGCAGGTGCTGAGATCACCTCTGATGCCTGAACAAGAGAATCACCATGTGTGCACTTAAGAGTGGTGTGCATTCTACAAAGGTGACGTTTGTCAATAGCAGCACCATGAAAAATAGTCTCCTGACAACATATCTGAAAGGGAAAAGCAAGCAGGATTTACTAAGAATCAGCAGATTTGGCTTGATACCGTTGGAAGAAGCCACAGTGTGGAAGATCAGCCCACTCCATCAAGAACAGAGAAGCCAAAAGTAGAAGAAGGAATGGAAGGTGTAACTGGTGGAGCACGTTTAAACTTTGCCATTCAGATGGTGCTAGGGCTGGTGGTGTTGGCCTGCGGCACGCTCAGGAGGTGGCTGGTACAGATGGAGAGGCCCTTCACCACCCTGCTCAGGTAGAAAAGGGTCTGACATTGGAATTTGTTTCTAACATCTAGGGATTCAAACCGTTTAGGAGACCCCATGAACACCACGGTGGGGAGCATCACTCTGTGGCCCACAGCCAAGTGACAGATGCTCAGGCTGGCAGGCTTAGGCCTCGGATGGAAGAGTGTCAAGATCTGCCCGAGAAGAAGAATGGCGTTTGCTGAGAGTACAACATCCACTTACAAAAAAGGCATTTTATAATGCTGATGTAGGCGCAAAGTGGTCCTCTCAATGGCAAATACAAAAAATGTTTTGTAAGCGGGAGAAGAAATGAACTTCATTCGCATTGCCAATTTTGCTTATTGCATACTAAAAGTCTTCATCGCGTTTATTATGTTTATGTCAATCAGTTATTCTTAATGAACCTATCTCATGCGGATTTTTAAAAATACAATTATATATTATTTTCTATGTTAAATATAATGTGTGTGTGTGTGTGTGTCTTCAACACAGGCACAGTCATACCTGCATATCTGTATAGTGTGTGCATTAATTACCCACACTCCTAGAGTACCCAAGCCTCAATTTTTATAAAGTACTTTTTACTGTTCTTCATTCCCTTAATATTCACCCCCAGAAGAGCGATGGGCATATACAAACAACTCATGGGTGTTTATACAGCTGAGTTGGAGTAGCTGTTATGCTATTGGGGGGAAATCACAAGAAAACAAAATAAATCTGTATGTATTTTGGTTGACTCTTTGTCACACGGTACTCATTTGATACTTTCTTTTCTTTGTCCTTCTGCCACATTAAAGGGCACTTGTGATTCCATTGGGACCACCTGGAAAATCCAGGAAACACCCGCATGTCAAGGTCAACAGACAAACACATTTGAATTCATCTACCTTCTCAATTCCATGTGCCATAGAACCTATGCCAGTCACAGGGTGCAGAAATTGGCACGTGGGCATCTTGGAACGCACTGCTCTGCCTGTATCAAATTGCTTCAGATAAACCACCTCACAGTCTTCTTAGTTGTTTCCTAGGTCTTTTTTCTCATTCCTGAGATCCCGTGCCCAAATTCTCATTTCAGGAAGGATTGCTGAAGTCCAGCTTTCCATTTTCAAGAGAAAAAAAAGTATGTTTTCTCATTTTATGGCATTTATGAAGTTGCATTGAAGTAATCACATGTGTGGGTTTTTTTTTTGGAGACTCCAGTTAATATAGAAAACCCACACATATCTTGAAAACATATTTAGGTCTTCCATAATAAAGACAATTCCCATCGCGTCTTCATCAAGATATCAAAACCCTTGTAAACTTTCACTGAATAATTTAACAATTACTTTCTTGTGTTATTTGCCTTAAATGCAGTCAACATTATTGTATACCGATGATGCAACTCAAGACTGAGAACAATTCTCCTGCATGACACTAAAAAAATGGGAAAAACTCTCTAGTCCCTCATATTCATCTTCTGAGATTGAAGAGAGTTCAATTTTGTTTTGAAGGGCACATATAACTACACTAAATCACAAATATTAATGTGCAAGATAATGCAGAAAAATTCAGTGTCCTTGGCTTATACGTTCATGACCAAGGTAGAACATTGCTCCAAAATCTCCATATATATATATATATATATAAAAAAATTTTATGTATACATATATATATAATAGATATGTGAGACATATATATTATATGACACCATTTAATCAGCTATATGATTTCTCTTTTATAAACTCACATATATATTTATAAACTCACATACATATTATATATATGTATTATATATGTGAGTTTATAAAAGAGAAACCATATAGCTGATTAAATGGTGTCATTCTTTCTTTAAAAAGATTAGTCTAATAAGGGACACACTTATCTCAGCTACTAGAACCAAACACACAGTTGCCGCCAACATAATCTTCACCCGACCACTGTTGGGTTCTACCACCTTGTTGGACCCAGGAGCAGCATCCGAATAATACAGATGTAAAGTCACAACATTGTCTGTATTTTATGGATCACAGCTCAGTACCAATAAAATATTCTGAGCATGTGCTACTAATATATGTGCAACCACTTAGTAAATATACATCTAAAACATTATGAACTTTAAAAATACCAATTTTTACACATTTGTATATGCACACATACGTTGTATGTATTGTAAGCTATTATAAAGAGACGATAAAAACGATAGATTTAAAAAAGGTTGGCTTGAGGCCAATTCCAAATAAAATATGTCAAAAAAATGAAAAAGAAAGAATTATAACACACTTCAATAAATAAAAGTAAAATTAGAAACGATTTGAACTGAATTTTTAAAATCATATCAAAATATGTGGAATGCAGCTAACGCAGAGCTTAGAAATAAATTTGTAGCAGTAAACTGCTTCATTATTGCAGAAGAAATGACTCAATTATCTTCGTTTCCAATGTAAGAAAACTAAAAAAAGAAGAACCAATTAAACACAAAGTAAACAGAAGAAAAGCTAGCTTAATGTTTTACAATGCTTCATAAAAAGACTCACAAATCGTTTTATATCAATCAGATTATGATAAAAGGTCACCAGATGTTTCAAACTATTGTTGTTTCTGTAAATTCAGTGGGGAGTATTTATTGTGTTATATGTGGCAGCATTTTATTTTTCTATTTAAAAGAATAAGAACTATATTTTAAGCACAATACATAAAGTACTTTGGAACTATACGTAATTATATAATGATGCCAACTGGTTGAAGTCACCAGGAGGGAAGAAGAACCAGTGAAATCAGACCTGAATTTTACACAAGGATGGCATTACCAACTATTTTTGTTTTCTGAATCCATTAGCTGTCTTTTCAGTGGTTCATCTGGGGATGTATCTTCCAGACAATGATTTACAAATAGAAACCCAAGTCTCCTCATTGCTGGTATAAAAACTGTTGTAAAGGCATATCTTCCTTCTAAGGATTTTTCTCACAGATACACTAGTGAAAGCTGCACAGTGGTCAGATCTCCACATCTGTGAGCTTTGCATTTGTGGATTCAACCAACTATGCATTAAAATAAAAAACAATTTCATCTGTAATGCACATGTACAGACAGTTTTCTTATCAATATTCCTAAACCACTATTTGTACAGCATTTACATTCTACTAGATATTGTAAGTAATCTAGGGATCGATATTGTAAGAGAGGGTATGCATAAGTTATATGCAAATACCACACCGTTTTCCGTAAAGAACCTGAACATCTGTGGACTTTAGTATCAACAGAATAGAACAAATTGCTTCTCTTCCTAGAACCAATTTCCTGTGGATACCTAAGGACAACTGTGTGTACAGACATCTTCGTTGCAGTACTTTTTGCAGTATAAAAAAATTGGCAATAACAGTATACACAGTGTTGGGATAGATTGAATTAGGTTCATTTATGCAATGGGATACAGATGTTAAAAATAAAAAAGTATGTGTTCGTCTGGGAAGTAATCTCAAGGATTTTTTAAGTGATGAAAGAAAAGTACAAAGCTCTGTCTGTATGTATTCCCATTTGTGAACAAAGTGTGTGTGTGTGTGTGTGTGTGTGTGTGTGTGTACTCTCCTTATAGACCATCTCTGAAAGGAAATACAAGTAATTAGTAGTAGTAGTTTGTCTAATTTTTGTTTCTTTTTCTCTTTCTATTTTTTTCTATAAGAATGGATTTTTACTATAAGAAGTAGTCAATGTTTAAAAATCTATTTATTTAAAGTAGTTAATTTAACAATATATGTGTATAGACAGAGGAAATAAGGCAAATGCTAACAGCTGGGGAGTTCAGGTAAAGACACAAATTACCTTTGTACAATTCTTACAAAGTTTTAGAAAATCGAAGATTATTTTAAAATAAAATTTTAAAAACCTACTCACTAATTCCATAATGAGTTCTTTTAAACTCTGAACTCAGGGCCTACACAATTTCCATACACCCCACCTAGTTCATATGTCCTATGTGCAGATGACCTAATATTCCTGACTATCAGTTTTCTCATTCCAAAATTCAGAATGATGATAATATGAAGCTTGAAGGGTTGTGCCCTGCATACACTGAGCATTCAGTGTATCTTACTGTTCCCTTCTTTCCTTAATCTCTTACAAAACCTTCTTCCTCAGATAAAGCACTGTGTGATTCTGTAAAGAGGAAGCAAAAATTGCAGATGAAGCAAAGCCTATTATCTTTGGTGCTACATCCACAGAGAACATCTCTGGATTTGGTCACCTCTTCCTCCTGTGCTTTAAGATATTAAACATTTTGCTGTCAAGAAGCAATTCCCCATAAACTCAAAAGTTCTTGGCTCTAACAATTCTAAATCTTGGCCTAGAAATGATAATTTTGAGCTAACTTCGTGTCTTCCTCAAATATATGCTGCTTTTGATGCCAAGAGTCTTTCATCAGCTATGTCCAGCCCTAGGAAAAAATGAACCAAGCAGAAGCATTTGCTCTGCAGATTTATGCTCTACCACACATGTGGAATTTAGTAGTTCATTGAGATTAAGCTTAGACTTAGGAATCAACAATTGGGTGAAACAAGACCATATGTGATGTTAATTTTACGTATCAACTTGATTGGACCATCAGGTGCCCCAAACAGGTATTTGGTTAAACATATTTCTGAGTGAATCTGTGAGGGTGTTTCTGGATGACAGCAGCATTTGAGCTGGTAGGCTGAGTGAAGAAGTTTGCCTTCCCCCCTGTGGCAATCACACCATCAGCTAATGGCCTCAACAGAAAGAACAAAGTGGTGGAGGAAGGAGAACTCATTTTCTCTGCCAGCTGGCCCGAGCCGGGGCACTGGTCGGCCCCCGCCCTCAGACTGGAAGTTCACCGTTAGCTGTCCTGTTCTCAGGCCTTTGAACTGGAACTGGAACTCTTCTGGCTCACAGGCCCACCGCTGACTCTCCTGGGTCTGCAGCTTACAGATTACAGTTGGAAAATGGTGGGACTTCTCAGTCTCTGTTATTCTCTCATTCTCTCTCTCTCTCTCTCTCTCTCTCTCTCTCTCCACTCCCTCTGTTCCTCCCTCCCTCTTCCTTTATCCCTCTCCCTCCCTCTCCCTCCCCTATTGGTACTATCTCTGGAGAGCCCTGACAAATACATTATGTTCTGTGAAATTTTGCTGGTATATTTTTCTTAAATCTGTCCCATTCACTATTCTCAAAATCTGCTGAGTGGGGCCACCCGTTGTTTCCCAGCTGAAGGACTGCAGTCACCATTCAGGTGCTTCCCCACCTTCGCTCGTGCCTCTTTCTGCTTCATTCTTTACACAGCTGCCCTTCCAATCTTTCTAAATGGAATGACTCCTCTGATTAAAAGTGAAACAAATCTCACTGTGGCTGTAATGAAATCTGTGTACTGGACTTCCGTCGGCTCTCTAACCTGCAGAGTGGTCCTGAGCAGCCCAGCAGAACCCGGAGCTTTCCAAACCCAGCCCAGGGTGGCTGTTTCTTCAGCCAGGCTTTCCACCCAGCGCGGCTGTCACCTTTATGTGTCCATCCTTGTTCCTTAGAGGAGTCGCATACTTCCAAATGCACATGGCTACGACATTTTCTTTCTCTGTCCTGAAATGCCTAACTTCATTCTCCACCTGGTGAATTCCAACTCACTCCTGAAGATGAGCTCAACTGTCCCTCCTGTGTGAAGCCTTCCCTGGCACCCCTGAGAAGTTTCCATCCATGTCACCACAGAGTAATGTCCATCCACCTGTCGAGCCACTCACTTATCACAGGGCTGGGCACCCATTGTTCATAGGGGATCTTACCGTCTAGACTTCAAAGCCTCAATGATAGGCACTTGGGTTATTCCCATTGCTTTTTTCTGAAAAATAATGATTTCTTCAGGACTATGTTAGCCCTAAGAGATCCCAGAGGTCAATGGGTCCAATTTTTTTTACTTTCCAGAACAGGATGCTGAGACTCTTTAATTCAGAATTATTCCAGCATCAAACTTGACATTATGAGAATTCATTGAGGACTTGTAGTGTACCTGTTTCTAGGTTCTAGGGAAACAGGACTGACTATGACAGGCAGAGTGACTGCCCCATGGAGTTCACCATTTGTGGATTGGGGGAGTGGATAACACAATAGCAACTACAAGATGCATTCATGCGTGCGTGCATACGTATGTGTGCGCTTGTGTGTACATGCATGTGTGCACATGCGTGCATACGTGCGTGTGTGTGCGTGCATGCGTGCCTGCATTTCATACAGTGCTGGGAGTAGTGGACAAACGAAGGCAGTGACTGGGGCCACGATCCAGGAGAGATCTCTGCGGAGACAACATCTGATCTCATGGAGGACTGGGCAAAACGAGTCATCCAGGTGGAGTCCCAGGGGAATAGGACTTCAGGCAGAGGGAACAGCAAGAGGAGGGCTCTGGAGGAGTAAGTGGCTTCCCTCACAGGGAGATGGAAAGGGGCCATGTGAGGGTACCTTCGCCGTGTTAGATGAATGTATTGCCTTAGGAAGGTCCGAGATAAAAGGTGGCATAAGCATGTTTGTAGCTCAGGCGAGTGAGTGGGGGAAGGAAGCGGGGCACTGCCTCACCAGGTGGGTCCCTCAAGAAGGCAGGCTGCACCTGCCTGGGTCCATCCCAGGTCAGCCCCCAACAGGCTGGGCCGACAGAGAAAAATGGTGATTTGGGCCTGGATTGTCAATGAGGCCCTCACCGAGCAAAATAAATGCTAAATGATCTCAGAAGGCCCAACAGGGGCAGTGCAGTGAGTGTCCGGGACAGAGGGGATGGTGGGTGGGGTGGGAGCCTGGGGCAGAGGGACTCCTCTGAAGTTAAATTGAAGCCACTGACCCACCCTTCAAATGATCATAGGCCATGGTCTTCTCTGATCACGACTCATCCCTGGAAGAAAACTGAGAAACTGGAGAGGGGAGAGAAGGGAGAGCGTGTATCACAAATTCTGAGTTATCAAAGGGGCTCTGCTTCCCCTGAGGCCATGGACACTGTATTCACTGTGGGGCAGACACACCACACTCCTGTCTTCAGCCACCTCTTCTACCATCCACACCCAGGAAACGCTGAAGCCCTTCCTAGAGTCTCTCCAACCCACGAAACTGAAACCGCATGGGACGTCCAAAGGCCCTATCCGCCAGGGCGGCTCCCTCCCCAGCACGGCGGCTGGGCCTCCTGAGAACCATGCATCCTCGTTCTTCTGCTGGTCCTCACAGATCTCCAGAGAGAAGCTCATTGTAGAATAGCATTTGCCTTGAATGCTCTGACAATTTTCTGCTAACCTACTTGTGACTGGTTAAAGCCAGGAGTCTGGTGCTGGCCTCGCTTCGGTACTTGGAAAACTGGGGACATCGTAATCAGCAGAGAAGTCATTGGAAATACAGACTTGCCAGTCCCACCACAGAAGACGATGATTTAGTGGGTTCTGCTGGCCCAGCTGTCCGCACTTACAGAAGCATTCTTGGGGATTCCAAGATGCTGCTGCGGGGCACATTTGCCAAGCCCTGCGCCAGGAGCCCTGAAGCTCTCTTCCTGCGGTGGTGACCTGCCAGCCAGCTGTCTTTAGTGGTGGGGAATGCTACTGAGCATGTGCATCACCAAATGACAGCTCACCCTTGACTCTTAAGATGGAAGGGAACTTAGAGGTGCTGTAGTCCAAATCTCTCATTTTTCAGATGGGTCAGACATGGCCTAGAGGGAAAATGTGGCTTGCCCAAGGTCATACATCACATAGCAAAAATTCTGGAACAAGGAGCAGTATTTTTTTTTTTTTTAATCTCTCAGTGATCCGGAAGACTCTGCATGTCAAACGCCCATTTCTGTTCCCAGCATTGGGTAACCCCTTAATTCCTGGTCACCTCCACCCCTCCTCAATGCCCAGACTTTCCATCACATGGAAACCCACTAGGCTTTCGATCTCACACGCTATTTCAGTAGGTCCCCCCTTGCGCTGACCTCAGTTCCAGCAGTGTGAGGCAGGGCTGCCTTCCCTTAGCTGACAGAGGAGGCTGCAGTGCGTGTGTGGGTTGGAAGGGGGGCTCCAGGAAGGGCCTCAGTGCTTCTGGGTGTGGAAGATAAAATACGCAGCGGGATGGCAGGAGCGTGGTGTGTCTGCCCCACAGTGCACACAGCATCCATGGCTTTAGGGGAAGCAGAGACCCTTTTGATAGCTTAGAATTCATGTTCCACATGCTGCCTCCGCTCCCCAATTCCGTTCCTCAGTTTTCTTACAGAGATGGAGTCCTGATCAGAGAAGACCATGGCTTGAAGTCATTTCAGGAGTAGGGCAGTGGCATTAATTTAACTTCAGAGGAGTCCCTCTGCCGCGGGCTCCTGCCCCACCTCCATCCTGAACACTCACTGCCTTGTCCTTCCCGGGGCTTCTGAGCTATTTAGTACATGTCTTCCTCAGGGCAGATTTCACTGACAGCCCAGCCTCTCAGGGCCTCATGCCCCTTCCTAGACCTGGGAGGTGCGGTGAGGGGCTCCTGCCTGGCGTCTAGCCCAAGTCCCATTCCTGGAGCCTCTGCCAGTGGCCTCCAGGGCTGCTTTTGGCCCAAGGAGCTGGAGAACAGTGAGTTCCCCTTCCCCATCTCTGTCTTAATGAATATTTAATCCTGGATATGCTCCAGAACCCAAGTGCGTTCTCCCTGCAACCCCTGCTCCCCAGTCCTGAAGAATCAGGCTCTGCCCACTTTGCACCACCAGAATCCCCTGGGGGCTCACAGCTCTTGCCCTCTTCGCTGTTGAGTGCGTCAGCATTCCAGCTCCTCCCTGGGCTGCTGGGAGGACAGATTGCTTCATAAATTCTTAAGAATGTGTTTGGAGCTAACAGCTTAATCATTATAATGAATTATTCAATCAACCAAAAGTGTTTTTTGGAGGAAAAAAAATACACCATGAAATATATCTTCATTTTAAGTACATCTGTTGTTTCTTGAAAGTCATTAGCTGTCAGTGAATCATCAATTGCGTTGTGTGGCTAAGACTATTTGTTCTAATTAAAGAACATGCATGAATCTAAACAAATTTGCCTTATCTGTAAAAATGGGACTTTCAGTCCTGGTAAGTGTGACAATCTTAAATGTGTTGGAGAGGCAATTTTCTCCAGGTGTTACCAGGCGCATCTGTGAGGAGTGGGGAATGAGGTAGGGGGTTCCAGACCACCAGGACCCCTAACCATGCCCGTGTCCTGTCCTCCCTCCCCAGCCTGGTGTGGCTCTTAGCCCCCCATGGAGGAGGCTGCAGAGAGAGCCCCGGCAGCTCCTGTCCTGCTCTTCAGCACAGGCCACCCAGAGGACAGCAGCAGGCCCAGTGGTGGGCGCCTTATGTTCTGGGGTAGGTGGGAGCTGAGACTGCAGGGAGCAAGGGCCAGAAAGGCCGTGGCTTCTGAGACTGGGATTCTTCCCTGGAGATGCAAGCTCAGCTGGGGCCTCCTTTCTGGGGCTCCAGGTAAAGACAGGGAGGGGTAGTGCTGGGAGACATGCGTATAAGGGGGTGGGCTTGCAGGGCAGGAAAGGAAAGAGATTAGAGACTGGCATTACTCAGAGGCCACCACGTGGAGAGAGGTATTTGATAGACTCAGAGGAGGTAAGCCAAGAGGGAAGGTGCGTGGAGACCTGAGGCATTCATGACCTTGCGACCACATCAAGTGCAGATGGTACAACATCAGATGAATTGGCCCTTTGTACAGGGCTGCACTGAAACCTAATTTTTCACAGAAATGAATTGGTCTTGGCCCTGTCTTCTCAGATTCCTGGCTCTCTTCTAATCCTTGGCAGCTTCTCTTCTCTAAGCAACTTCTCAAGGCTGTGCCCACCTCTCTCTGCAGGATCGCACACCTCAGACCATCCTTCCTCCACCCCACAGCCCCTCTGGGGCCCTCTCTGCTTTGCATTCCACCCTGGGCAGCCACAGAAAGCAAATAAGGGCTCTGGTCGCAGCCTCCCTGCAGGGTGGGTGCCCCAGCCCCCAGAACAGGTCGCTGCTGACCCCACCCTAGCTGCTGGGCTGGCTTTTCAGGGCTTGGTCTCCTTAGCCTGGCCTGGAAGGCAGACAGTGTGCTCTGTGGGCTGCAGGCAGGGGCGCTGCATGGGGAGGGGCATGTCAGTGCCTATGAGGCGGGTGCTGGCCAGGGAACTGAGAAGTCTGATTCTTCTCCGTCCTCTCACCTGTCCTGACATGGAGACACTCACAGCAGTAACACTTGCTACCCAGCAGTGGCGGCACCCAGGTCTGCCCTCCCTCCCTTCCCGCCTCAGTCCCCCTGCTCCTCCTCCCTGTTTCCCGGAGGCTGCACTCATCAGTAAATGGGTAGCACAGAAGCTTCTGCCTCAGCCTGCACTCTTCAAAGACTCAGGATGAAGACATAGTACTCCAAAGCCAGGAGCAGCAGAGGCAGCAGAGGGAGTGGGCTGAGATGCATCAGAGAGGCTGCAGAGGAGCTGGCATCCATGCCAGGCTAGGACAGCTGGGGTTGGGTCAGGGAGGAGTTGGCATGGATGCTGCAGCCGGGAAGATTCAAGGAGGCATAGCGAGAAGGTGCCTGGAGCCCAGAGGAGCCAGAACTGCTGAAACAAAAGGCATCTGGGAGCAGTCATGGGAGACGCCAGCACAGAGCTGGCTTTCGTTTCCTGGAGTACAGGCATGGGGCTGCAGAGGAGAGGGGTGTGTACACTGGCAGCCCAGCACACCCTCCTCCCTCTGCCCCACCCCACCCCCACACACATACCATCATGTCTACAGTCAGTACAGATGCCCTCCACCCTCCCAGCCCCCATCACAGACAGGACTGTGCTCTCGGAGGGGGGGGATTCAGCCCAACCCACCCAGCTTAAGTAGAGGCTTTAAAATGAATGAACATATTATTAGCGTGGTTTCCTCCTGTTTGAGGATTCTAGCATCCTAGTCCCGAGAATCAGACCTGCTAAGCACAGCCGTCGTCATAGCCTGGGAGCGGTACCCAGAAGAAGCCTTCAAAGGCAGACTCATGAGACAGAGAGAGGTATCTAAGAGCAGCCACAGCTTCCTGTGCTGCTAGGATGCTTTCCTCACTTAGAGGATGAGCTTTCCAGCCAGTTAGCTTTCCATGTATTCTTTTCACAACCAAGTTAACCTGGAGCAGAGAAAGCCCTGGGCACTTTGTGGCTGCCCCTCCAGAAGGTCGCCTGTCCACAGACTACTCCCTGGCCCTGAGAAGCAGTGATTGAGGTGAAAAGAATGTGCATCCAGCAGCCTGAGGTGGAATCAGCACTTCCCCACCGTGGGCCTGACACCTGCAGGCCAGTACTGACGGGGCAGAGGCTCCATGGTGGTGTGACAGGTGTATGTGCGATTGCTAGTGACTAGGTGACTAGTTCTGGTCACTTATTTTTCTTGTTCTTGCAAATGTGCGTGTGTGTGTGTGCATGCGTGTGTATTCGTGTGTGTGCATCTGGGTGTATGTGCACGATGCTGGCATGCAGGTATGTGCATGTGGGCATACTTGCAGTGCATGCATGCGTATATTTGCATGCACGTGTGTATGTGTGTATCTGTGTGCTTCTGTGTGCCTATGTATATGTGCATGTGCATGCTCGCATTCTGCACTCCTGCTGCCTTTTATGTATTTTGACTGCACAGAGACTGTCTCAAGGATGTCCCTTGTGTTACCCCAGGGAGCGCAGCCTGTGAGCGGCAGTGTGAGAAACACCCCCCTCCGTACACACAGCTGCTTTCCTGCACCTTCAAACTTGCATTTAAGGAGTGAGCTCTTGAAAATAAATTCTATGCTTTAAAAGGTGAAACCAGAAAGAGAGGCAGTCAATTGCTCTTGTCTTCCTCTCAAACAGCTGGCAAAGCCTGGAACCTGAGTGCTGGCAGCGCCTGATTGGGTAGGCTGCAGGGCTGCAAGGGGACATTCCCAGACAGAGCAGAAAACACACTGACCCTCCCTTGGCCTTCTCCTGGACCCAAGGCATGTCTCACAGCTTATGGACCTAAGAGCTACAGACTCCTTCAGGCTGTCAAAAAGTCGACACTGTGAAATGACTGTCTCCCAATCTTCATGTTCGGTTTCCAGAAACAAATAAAAATACTTACTGTGAGAGACTTTTGAGGCTGCCAAAATAAGTCTAACAGCTTCTTCTTCTGTCCTCCCTCTTCCACCTTCCTACTTTTTTGCTTTTTTCCTTCTTTTCCCCCCTTCCTTCCTTCCTTCCTTCCTTCCCTCCCTCCCTCCCTCCCTCCCTCCCTCCCTCCCTCCCTCCCTCCTTCCTTCCTTCCTTCCTTCCTTCCTTCCTTCCTTCCTTCCTTCCTTCCACAAATGCATCCTGAGCCTTGCAATCTGCTGGCTCAGCAATCCACATTTACCACATTTAGGGTGCTGGGATAGGGTGGAGAAAGGAGAGGCAGTGCCTGCCCAAGGACTTCACACCTGGGGGTAGGGGCGGGGAGGGGCATGAAACCAACATGTAATTAGAAATGATAGTCCTTGCCTTGAGGAAATGATGATAGTCCTTGCCTTGAAGAGGGGCACAGTACTGTGAGGGAGACTCACAGGCAATTCTTATCTAGGCTGCAGGCAGGCAATAAGAAGCAAACTCCTGTGTCAGCAGTACTTCATTCTTTCATTAATCAACATTCTTCCAGCATTTTTTTCAGGGAGCAGAGACAGTAAGCAAGAGGGGGCCAGGCTGCGAGCCAGCGGAGCGCTCGGCTGAGACGCGCAGAAGCTGTCTGGAAAATCAGGACAGGAAGGCATTCAGAGGACATGCTTCCTCCTCTTTCCACCTTTACACCTCCGGTCCTTGGCTCCAGGCTGGGACCCCTCTGGATCCCCCATTATGAGGCTGAAGGACTGCAGAGTCCAAGCTGTGCCGGTAGTGACAAACTCAGGACCCTAAGTCGGTGACCTGGGAGCACACCAGTCATGAGCCTCCTGTCGCTGTGCAAAGAGCTTACTCTCTACATCGGGACCTCCTGTGATATAAGGTGAATACATCACTCTGCTCGCCTCCTTCAGTGTTTTGGTCATGAGGACTGTAAAAGAAAATGAAGAGAAATGTCAGAAACCCTACCCTCTAGAGACTGAGTCACAAAACACCACCAGCTTTTTCCCAAATAAACAACTATGACTTCACAAGCTGCTGTCCGGGCATTCCACACTCCATAAACCGGCAGGAGAACAGGGAGTCAGAGTAACGGGATTCAGCAGGTGCAGCCAGTTCACATAAGCAGAAGAACAATAGGTACAGCCAGTTTGTACAAGCAGGAGAGCAGCAGGGGCTGCGTACAGACCACGTGCTCCCTCCTGTGATGACCAGGCACGCCAGCCCCCCGTGGACTGCAAGCTGGGTCTGCGCTGCACCTCCAATGGGTCTCAGGACAGTCCTTCATGGGGTGTAGCCAATTGTGGGCCTCTAGGGGACACCGAGGGGTGTTGCCGGGTTTCCTGGAGCTTAACAAAAAACCTTAGTTAAAGAGGTTCTTAGCAGCTTGCTCTGTGAATTATCTTCAATAAATCTGTGTTTTATTGCTCCTGTCTTCTGTTGCTTTGTCTTTCTTTGCTTTGTTCCTTTGTCACTTTGTGTGTGCATTTTGTGCAGTTCTTCGTTAAACACTCCAAGAACCTGGACAACTCTACCTGGTAGCAAAACCCCACAGGAAAGCAAAGGCCTCTGGCTCTCTGGGTGACTGCCCCCACAAACTGTTCTGTGTTGGCGTGGAATCATTTCAAGATGTACACCCTCCGGTCAAACAAGGACATGTCGATGTAACTCAGGCCTGCAGTCCCAGCCCTGCTCCTAAAACTAAAGTCTTTTCCATCCCACGCTGATGATGCTTCTCTTCCCAGGTACAAA